CTTAAAGACCTGAATTCAAATTTAATTCAAAGACCACTACGAACCCTGTTAAATATACATAAATTCGAACCTGTTTGAACTCCATGAATTTGGCTTGAAGAACTGACCACCTCACTTCCCAACTCGCCATATTTGGTTCCCAGATGGATGGCCCTATGAACTCTTGTCACATGAGACTTCAAATTACTTTTCTGCGAACAGCTCTTACCACAAATTTCACAAAGGTAAGGTTTTTCGCCGGTGTGAACCAACTCGTGTCGATAAAGGTTGTTCCGAATTTTGAAAGATTTTCCGCAAGTCTGACAGTCAAAAGGGCCCGACTTTAATTTATGCATCCTTTTGTGCAGAAGCAACTGGTTCTCTTGCTTAAAAGTCTTCAGACAAAATTCACATTTGTAAACTTTGTTTGCAGAAGATGTTTTACGCTTTTGTGGGCTGTCTGCAGCCGAGCTGCCCAAATTCTTCGTTCTGACAGAATTGCCTTCGACAGAACTTCTTCGTTTTTGCGGACTCTCTGACGTAGGGATGCCCATACTTTTTGTGCTTTTAAGAATTCGTTTAGATTTGACTCTGCTCCCCTTGCTATGAACACCTCTTTTGTGGATCAAAACATGACTGCTTTGTTTGAACGACTTGCCACATAGTTCGCATTGATAAGGTCGATGGCCTGTATGTACCCTCTCGTGCATGTCCACATGACCCTTAGTTTTGAATTCCTTGCTGCAAAACTGGCATTGGAATGTTTTTGTCTCTCTAGATTTCGTAATTTTTTTCTCACCAAGACGTCGTTGCACTTTTTTTGGTCCCTCGTCTGACCTTTCTACTTGTTGAATTGGGCATTTTCCACTTTCAAGATGAGACATTAGCCGATGTTTGAACGCGTAGCTCTTGCCACACTCGCAGGAAAACGGTTTTTCGCCAGTATGTGTTCTCTTATGATCTTTGACATAACTCTTCTGTTTGAATGTTTTGAAGCAAATGTCGCATTGGTTCGGCCTCACTTTGGGTTTTGCCGGAACCTGCCGGTTGGCATTGGCGAGTTTGGGGCTAGGGTTCACAGAAGAGTTACCGTTGCCAAGATTAATGTTTGTTCGTCGTTTTTTTCCATTGTCAGGTACAAAGTTTTCACTTACAGATTCTTTTTCAGATTTTTCAGAAATTTCACATGTTGCACTTTCACGGTTAACTTTAACCTGATCTTTATAGTTATCACTGGACTTCTTACATTCCACAGAAGTTGTGCTCATTTTCTGCCTTTTTTTATTATGAAACAATGTGACTTCACTTTTCCCAGAAATAGGGTTTTCTTTATCAGCAGATTTGTTGTCCCTCCGAGTATGTTTTCGTTTATGATCTTTCAAAGTTTTTGCTTTTTTGAAACTTGAACCACAAACATCACATTCATATTCAATGCCTGTTTTCCTCAAAGCGTTTTTCAAATTCTGCTTGTTGCCTGAACTGCGATTCTTTCCCATTTTCCCGAAACCTTTTTTCGGATTCTGCTTGTTGCCCGTTTTAGCTGAGTTGCTATTTTCTATGTTGTGAACAAGTTTCATGTGACGTTTCACATGCGAGCTTTGGGTGAATGCCATGGTACAAACAGGGCATTTGTGAGGCCGAACGCCAGTGTGGACGCTTTGATGGCGTACTAGACTAGCTTGGAAGGCAAACACTTTTTTACAAATGTTACATGTAACAGATTCTGGATTTGCATGTGTTTGTTTGTGATATTTTAGTCTTATCATATTAGGGAGAACCTTTTCGCATTCGTCACAACTGAAAGAGTTTTTGGTTGAGTCTGGGAAAGGCATGGTTTCTTCTTTTGACGCCATTATAAATCACAAAATAAGGCGGACGTCGTACATATTTTTCAAGGTGGCAGGAACTGTAATTTGTGGTATTGCAAATTCTTGATCTGAAATTATAAGGTTTAAGACATTAACCCATTAATGTGCAAGACTTTCCCATTGACGAGTAAAATCATCTGGTTTTAGATGGAATAGAATAATAAAGTAGGGTGCATACAGTTTACTTGTCAAGGGAACAGCACAATCAAGGCCACATTGGGGCTTGATTAACAAACTTCAGAACAAACTGTGGAACATTTTGGCAAAAATTTGGTGAACTTGACTCTAATGGGTTAACAAATATATAATAGATTTCGGTTGCACATACATTGGGAAAGTTCCAACAATTTTCTGCAAGATCATGACCCTTCCTAAAAGGCTTGCACCTTTGCAGCTAATTCAATAAAATGACATTTCTGCTATACAGATCCATGTTTGTTGGAGTGCAGACCTGTCAACTCTCCCGGTGCTGCCGGGAGACTCCCGGTTTTGACCTTTTTCTCGCAGTATCAAGGTATTTTCTCCTGGTTTTAATTGTTATGAGGTAATGGAATATTTTCCAGATTCAAATATCTGGCAAGAAATAGTAATCGTGTGAAAATCACTTGTGTCCAAGCTGAAACTTACTCCATGAACTACAAGTGTTTGGCTTTTTTTTCCACTTTCGCACCTGAGATGTAACTTGGGATCTCAAAAAGTAAACTAGTTGCATTCTTGCCATGTTAGCATTAAATTAAATTAAACAAGTTGTTGAAGCGAATGCAATTATAATGATTATAAAGCCGGGACTTTACTGTTTTGAACACTGCATATGACTTTAATTTTGCTCTCCCGGTTTTTGATAAAATCTCAGTTTTTTAAAGGAGTGGTTATTATTTATGGGGAGGGGGGTTGGGAAATGGGGAAAATATAGATTGAAAACTTTTTTGATCCCCCCCCTCCAGACTGAAGGCAAACTTTTTGTGCCTCCCCCCTCATAAAAGTAGAAACTTTTCTGACCCCCCCCCCAGTGTGGATTGAAAACTTAACAGCAATGAAACAGGTGTGCGTTGCAGGTAAAGTTAGATATTAGGCCAATCTGTTTAATCTAGCTCATGATGTTTTACCCTGGTGAATATGATTCAACCATGTACGATTAAAAAATATATATTATGTGTTACTACTACTTTGCAATGCAACATTTTGGCCTACCATATCCCTAACCCATGACCCGTCTTCATACAGCAGAATGATTTGAACCTGACAGGGTTTTTTTAAGAACTTGTCTGGGGGGTGGCATATACAAAAAGGGACCATACTATATTGAGTGTGGAGAGATGACAGATGGTTGTTGGTGACAAAAAGTTTGGTGTGGTATTGTATGTACTAGTAGGGGGATCTGGGGGTCTTCTCCCCCTGAATGTTTTTTGTATTTTTCCACCCCTAGAACTGAAATGTGAGCATTTTCTGAAACAGATTTTTGGATATACAGCGTTACATTGTGCGTTGATAGACCAAATCTGATCAGTTAAGTGTACTTGCATGGTATGTTTATGTAAATACCACAACTGGACCACTCAGGGGGTAGAAAGCTTGTTAAACTTAGTGGTGGGCCCGACTCCCACAATCGCGAGGCGTTACCATGGTTGGCGCCAAGCAGTGAAACTTCTCTAGATTGTTGGAAATAGCATTTTCAGAGTCTTCTTTTTTGCTATTTGTGATTATAGAAATCAGAACAATAGACATGGTATTTAAGTTCAAAAACTTTTATGACCCCCCCTTTCTCTGTGTTAAAACTTTTTTGACCCCCCCCCTATTTATAAGGGTAAAACTTTGTTTGCCCCCCTCCCAT